GTACAATGGATTCCTTCGTGTCGTCCCCCGACATCTATGAGACAACAATGGTTTGGTTTACTCTACAGTTCACGACGAATCTCAACCAGTGACCGTTATAAATGGCGCCCGCCATGTTGACCCGTCCGAAACAGGCATCGGCACTGTCGCCTCGGCCACAGATCTCACCTCAGCCCCTACACACCGTAGTTCAAGAAAGATGAATTGCGCATCATTGAGCTCGGCAAAGGGAAATGGGAATAAATCTACAGCTTCGAACTCTCTCCCTTCCATACTGACCGTGACTCGTAAACAGCGAGGAAGGCCGAGGAAATCTGCACTCTCCAACACCGAGATCGATGACTCCATCATTACAGTGCCCCCGAATCCTGAAAAACATTTTAACAATAAATTCAATAATTTAGAATAAAAAAGAATCCTTTTTTCATTACTTGCTTGGGGACCACACCTGTAAAATTCCTGGGATTTTTTGTCTTTTTTTCAGATTCCCAAGGATTTTTCGGGGGTGGTCCTTCTGGATACGTCGGGCCCTGTTTTTCCCCACACGGCGCGGCGGCTCAACTGTGGGCCTAACCGAACACATGATGGGCTTGCTAAAAGAAGCCCTCTTTGTATTCACAGGGTAGAAAAGTAAAAAAAAAAAAATGTCGGGCCTCGTCTCTCACTACTCGCCGTTCCCGTTGTAAGCCTGGCCGAATGGATGGGAACGAAAAATAAAAGATTCTTTTATGAATCACGGGTCAGAAAGAGCTTTTTAAAACTCTTTTCGTCCTATGGACACTAAGAATATATTTTTAAATAAGCCCACTATGAGTTTAGCCAGGCACACAATGGGGCGGCCGGATGATAAGGGAAGGAGGGGGCCCATCATCAGAGCCGGCCCTACCATAGGGCGAATGGAGCAGCCGCTCCAGGCGCTAAGTCCTAGGGGGCGCCTCAGTGGTAAAGAAAATTAAAGGGTATAAATTAGGGCAACCAAGGAGGGTGCCATAATAGGATCTCGCTCCATCCTAAAACTTGCCTCGGGCCGGCACTGCCCATCATATCCGGACGCAAGGACTTTAAACTACAAGGATGGCCAGATCCCGTATATTTGTTAGCATGACCTTGGATCTATGTGACGTCACAGCAAGTCTTCTACTTCAACATCACAGACCTTTCAAATAACAAAATACGATAAAATATTAAATCATTTCTTAATTAATTATTAAATTACTACTAAATGTAAACTACTGTAGAATTTTCGGATTTAATAAGTGTACTGTACGTCAATAAATTTACAAGTCTTTTGTCTAATATTTATTTAACAAATTAATGAGCTATACTTTTTAATATGTGATTATCTTACTTAACTTTTTAATTTTTTTTCGACAATCACCATTTTCAGAAGGCATTCTTTTCAATATTTTATAGTTTTCTTGTTTAAGATTTCTATAATTAATTCTTATTATAGTTCTTAATTTACAAAAATCTTTTATTAAAGTAAAAGGTAAAACTGTTTCCACTGACTAATTCTGTACAACTCCGGGGCCTTTTTTATACGATTCATCGTGATATATTTCGAAATATTTATTCCATTCTATAATTTTTGCTAGCCATTCATCAGTAGGTTTAATAAGCCCTCCATAAGATAAATG